AGAGCAGTGGGGGAATGTGACAAAGTACATTTACTCAAGTACTGTACTTTAGTACAATTTAGAGGTACTTTACTTTACTGTGGAGTGTTTCCATGGTATTTTCTGCTACTTGATATTTCTACTCCACAACATTTCAGAGGGAAATATTTTATGTTTATTATTTCACAGCTCTAATCACTAGTTACTTTTCAGATCAATATTTTATACATACAGTATATGATCAGTTAAAGTGAACTTTTATTTCTATATCTTAAAAATGCCCAGTTTTAGTAAATTATTTAAGTTATTTGGTTATGAAAGCTGCATTTGCATAGTGATATCAGTGCAAAATTAATGCACAATCCACATAGAAAATGCACTATGTCTGTCGCCATATCGTAAATCTGTGACTGATTATCTTCTGTTGTTATCTGTGATTAAGCTAATTTAGCTTCTTTTTCCCTCTTTTTTAAAAACGATGTTTTGACAAATGAGTTGAGTACTGTATTGTTGTGATTCTTTAGGTAGTGAAGGGGTAGTGGAGGATGTAGTCCTCTTGGGGGCCCCTGTGGATGGTTCTGAAAAGGCCTGGGAGAGGATGACCAGAGTAGTGGCTGGAAAAATAGTGAATGGCTACTGCAGGTAATCCAACAGAGCGCTGTCTTTCTGTATGCATGGAGTATAATGTTTACATGTTTATAGTAAATGCTTCTGATTCCTTAAAGCATGCTTCGTAAATAGTCATTTTATATTTGGGTCCAATGTTTTGGATGCAGTGGATTCAGAAACTACTGTCTTGACAGCATGAATAGATGACTTTATCTGTATGTGTTTAACTGTCCACCTATCAGAGGGGACTGGCTCCTGGGGTTCTTGTACCGAAGTTCAGCTGCACAACTGTCTGTTGCTGGGCTACAGCCAATCAACGTCCAGGATCGGCGTATAATCAATGTGGATCTTTCCTCTGTGGTGAGTCAGAGCTTGTGTTTATATTTGGCCCACTAAAGTTTCCTTAATGAATTGTTTTTCAAGTGCATATGAGCCAAAGATTATTCAATATTTCAAGGTTTGCCTTCAAGGTAACATTTCAAGAAAAGACACACTTTTTAAGAAATAAAAATGTCACATTTGTTGTTAGATCAGAGCCTGTGAAATAATATAAGGTGTCGTTGACTAACGTAAACTACATTATCTGCAGCTATGCCTTTTAAGTTTTTAGGTTTTGGAAACAGGCTGTGGTTCACAACTGAAATAATCTTTGTTAAATCATCGGTTTATTATTGAGTGGCAAAATTACTATTCGCACATTTTACCAACGCCTGGTAGTGAGGCTTTACTAGCAGGCACCAGTAAAAACATACCATAGTTTTTACCATAGTCACCATAGTTGCATAAAACTATTCTGTTTGTTATAATTTAATTAGAAAATTGAGACCCATTACTATTATTCACTGCATACTGTGTCCCTTAAAAAGTATTAATTGATCTTTTTTGGGCAACCTTGGAGCAGTGGAACAAGCTGTAAACACAATTTGACATATGACCTTGTTTTTATGGCAAAAATGTTTCAGTAATTAAAGTAAGTCATTTTAGTAATTAACACAAAAACTATTTATAATAACTATAAATAAAATGTTATCAGATATAATCTTGTGATGCAACATTATTAAATGCATATTTTAATTAGCATTTTAAGAGACAGTTGTATTGTTAAAATAAAATTAAAAGATAAGAAAAAAGTAAGGCCCCTGCTGGTCTGTTTCAGTTCACAGCAATGCCTTTCTGCCACCCTGTAAATCAACAGGATTCCACAAGAAACATAACACATAGTTATCTTTGTAAGTTGTAAAGCATCACATTTAATTCAACTGAATATTTAAAAAAGAAAGTAAAAAGATACTTGACATGATTGAAGCACTATACACTATATATCAAGCCATGTGAGGAATAAGAAACCTTGCTATACAAAAAAATATGAAACAAACAGATTTGTACAAAGTGATGATGTTTTCTGTAAAAAAGTGAAATTATACACTGTAATTTACAAAGGAATATGTATCCTTTTTTAGTCAGAGACAGTAAAACCATGTGTCTGCTTCCCAGGTAAAAGGTCATTTGGACTACATGCGTCAGATGGACACCATCTTGGTAGCAGTAGGATTTCCCACCAAAGAAGTCCCAGGAGCCTTCTTTGCTCTTCCTCAGCCTGTAAAAACAGCCACTGAAGGAGCAGTGGACATCCCAGGCCAACCCCCCAACAAGCAACATGTGACTGAGACACAAAATCAAGCCGAGGAGGCTGAGACTTGTACAGAAGAAAGTAAAGACGCAAAAGAGGCGGCAGAGACAGACGATATGGGTGACGGCTGGGATATCCCTGATATTTCAGACCTGCTGGAATCATTAAATGATACAGAATCCAACAGTCAAGTAGTAGTCGGGAACAATTTACCGCTTACTTCTGAGGAGAATGCCACTGATGACGACACAGCGTCTGCTTTTGCTGTGTGTGACGGTATAGAGGAGGCTGACCCTGAGAGCGAACACGTATCATGGAGCTGGGATGATACACCCTGGACTACAGAGCACACACAAAGGCAGCCAGACTTGTAAAGAGCATGTGACAGGACCAGCTGCTTCCCTGTAAAATCTCATCTTCTCAAGTTTTTTTTCAGCATCAGAGCTTTCTTAATTAATTCCATTCTCAACACACTGACATGCCAAAGACAGCTAAATAGTCAATGCACACATATGGCAGCCTGAAGTGAAAACCCCTGAATTAACTGCTTTGTTTAACTCCTAAATGGGATTTTTAGACTAATTTATTGATAACAATTTAGAACTTTGTAAATAAAGTAGATGTTTTACTACCTGTAAATAGTGTCATTATTTATTTTCTTGTGCTTCATTTTCATCAGTTGGCTTGGTTGCTATGGATATTATCACAGTAATTTGATTTCCATATGGCCAGAAAGCAATTCAGTGAATGTGTCTTCTTCAAGGCCCTTCTATTCTCTATTAAGTCTGGCATCGGGCCAAATTTATTTCCAGCCGTAACATGGCAGACAGAGCATAGTCAAATTATTTCAAATCCTGGTGTACTTGCATGCACGTTTAGCTCAGTTTTTTCTCCCTTGTTAAACAGATTGATTATAAGGACACTTTTGGAAATAACTCACGATAAAGCATGTGCCGCAGTGTGTGTGCGTCCTAGCGTTTGATCCGCATTCATAAACCTATGGATGCTTATTTTCATTTCCCTGAGGAAGTTCAGGGGAATCCAATCACAGGTTTACTGACTGCTTTTTCAGAGGTTTGTCAAGTAAGCCAGAGAGTCTTTCGAATGTCCTTCAGAACTTTTCAACGTAAAAGCTCTCAGTAAACTCAACATGAAGCATTGCTGCAAAAAACATTCTCGTGCTATTATTTTGGAGGCACAATCACTTATGTGAGTAACTGTTGCTGTAATGATGAGATCTGTTTCAGCACCAGCCGCTTTTTTTGTATCTCACATTTTTTTCTGTTATCAAAGCAATCTGTCCACGGGCCAGATATTATTGCTGGTGCCGACCACTGCTTTATTATACCCATACCAGTGTGAAGCACTGCTCACTCTAGAGTTTAGTTACATTGTATACTGGCACTGACAATTACAGGTAGTCTTAACCCAAAATTTTTTGTCAGTTTCTTCAACCATATTTGCACTGTACTGACTGGGATGTTTTCAGGACTGCCACCAACAGTCTGGATGAGTTTACAGAGGCTGTAACATCGTACATCAGTTTCTGTGTAGACAGCTGTGCACCATCACGCACCAGGGTGAGTTAACATATTATAACCATTAAGATAACAGTGACAAACCCTGCCTCACAGCTAAGGCTGGAAAAGGTTTAAGGAGATTTAAAGAGTCAAGGCGGTGCGAGATTGCTAAACTCAGACTACACCAGTTCTCTGCTTGATCACCAACTGTAAACCTAAATCACTCCACTCCACGACTCGCCTGGCCAACGAGTTGAACCAGTTTTACTGTTGCTTCGAAAGACAATGGGACAGACCTGACACCACCCTGGTCACCCCACCGATCGACCACAGTCCACCATCTCATCTTCCCCCTCCTCCCCCTCTCTCACTATCCTGCAGATGTCAACAGACTGTTCAGGTGGCAGATACCCTGCAAAGCAGCTGGGCCGAACTCTGTCTCCCCCTCCACCCCAGAAGCACTGTGCTGATCAGCTGTCTTCAGTGTCACAGGCATCTTTAACACCTCACTGGAGACATACCATGTGCCAGCCTGCTTCAAAGCAGAGCCAACAGATCTGTAGACGATGCAGTAAACATGGCCCTTCACTTCATCCTCCAGCACCTGGACAGTGGAGATGATCATGGATTATAGAAAGAGCCCCACCCCACCCACCCCATCATACTGGGCGACTCCACAGTCAACACTGTGGGGTCATTCCACTTCCTGGCCACCATCATGGACCTCAAGTGGGAGCTGAACATCTCCTCCCTCATCAAAAAAGCCCATCAGTGGATGTACTTCCTGCGGCAGCTGAAGAAGTTCAACCTGCCAAAGACATGTAGGCCACAAGACCTGTACGCCTCCAAGAAACAAGGGCTGTCACTTTGTGTCAAAAAGTGGTGGGGACATTTAAGGGTTCAGATTATGGGTGTGACCAAACACTTAGTCCACAACACATGATAATGCACAATATTGGAGTCACGAGAACAAGACAACAAGATTTTGAGCATTAAACTCTGAATGTCCTGCATTCTAGAGACATTTTCTGCACCAGCTTATGGTCGAAATGTCTTTATTTATATGAAGGGAAACAAAATTCATGTGGCTGGTGGCAATTCAGAATAGGCTATAAAAATATTATCAAACATAATGCATTAATCAGTAGCTTGTTTTTTAGCCTAAGTTACTTTTGTTTTGTACAAGGCAGATCTGTTTCTTCTATATTTACATTGCATTTCATGTTGTGCAAGTAAACCTTTCTCATAGAATTTGTTATTCAACATTTCCTGTTGCAAGCTAATTTTCAGAAAACCTTTAGCAAGTGCTTTCAAAAAGTGGTGGGGACATGTCCCAAGCGCCCCTAATGTAAATGACACCTATGGCAGGAAAGATTGTGGCTGAACCCTCCCACCCCAGAAACCCTGTTTCCTCCGGCAGGAGGCTGTGGTCCATCAGGACCAAAACCTTGCGGCACAAGAACGCTTTGTTTCCGACTGCAGTGGCCTCCTCAACAACACTGACTTTCATGCATATTTATTGCATTCTTTTTTTCCATTAGTATTATAGCATTATTGTATTATTTTGGTTTCTTGTACATTTTTGATCTCTCTACTCTTTCTATATTTATATTTCTATATTTATGTTCTGTTAAGCACCAATATGTACCAAGGCAAATTCCTCGTAAAATGTGAAAATGTACCTGGCAGTAAACCTCATTCTGATTCTGATATTTCATAATTGGAAAGAAAAACACAATTCAAGATTAGCTTACTGAATTACTTACTGTGACTATAAAGAATTCATTTTAAAGTGGATTATTTGTTTTATTTCTGTTAGGCCTAGACTCATGGAAATGTAATGAGTCTCAATTCTCACCTTGAATCACTTTTCCACCATATACCCGACATAACATATTAGCTGACTTGATTTCCAATAATTGCTATTCAGTCCAGGGTGTCCACCTGATTGGGCAGAAGAAGAGGCAACTCGATGCCAGCATGCTCGGCATCCAGCAGGTTGACAGCATCTGTGGCAGTGGCAGGGGGGTGGGTGGGGTCAGAGGCCAGGGGAGAGGGGGGGTTGCTGGCGATGTTAGGCTCTCCTGAGTTGCGGAGAGAGAGGGAGAGCACTGGTGAGGGTCTTCTGGTTGACCGCGAGGAACAGCAAGGCAAGAGCTTCCCCAGAGCTCGCTTGAAGTCTCTCATGAACAGTGGGTAGATGATGGGGTTCATTGTGCTGTTGCAGTAGCCCAGCCAGGTGATGGCGTCAAAGAGCGCGAGGGGGATGCACTCACAGACTGCCTGAACGAAGACGGTGAAAAGTATTGCAGGCATTAAGGTATGAATCAGATAATAAATGAGGAAAAACATCAATACATTAAATAAATACAGAGAAATATCATCTTAAAGGCACCGTAAAGAGTTTTTACCCGAAGTACTGCTATGGAGCAGTGTATTTACAAGAGGGTCCCTGTTTTGTTTGTATTCTTGCATGAGGGTGAACATACATGTGGACAAGCAGGTGGTCAAAGAATTCCTGCTGCTGGTTTTAAAGGAAGTAGAACACGGCAAACTGAGAATAAATAAATACAGAATTTACAATACAATATTTATATTTATTTACTTTTAGCTAATTGAACACATTTATTTATTTACAACTTATTGCACACTTTTCCACATTCTATTTAGTTTCTGTGTCCCTTTTGGGCCCATTTCAAGTAGCTGAGTCGGGAAATCATCAAAAAGCTGAAGTTAATTTACTGTACAGCTCTGAAATAAATATATATTAATTAATAACCGCTATATGTTGTGCAACATTTCATTTATGTATAATTCTTGGCAATGTTTGTATTTATTTCTTTTTGCAAATTTTTTTGTTTACTTATATTCTCTGCCTTTGGGCATTCAAGACGTCTATGACTTCAGTAGATTTTAAGTAGCTGAGTCGTGTAACAATCAAAAAGAAGCAGACAGATTTCTTTTCTCACTAATTACATAAGCTGTCCATCACTCTTTTTTTAATGGAAGATCTAATATGCCCTGAATAGAATTTGCAAATACATTTGTATCTGGCTGTTGAAAACACTGATCTTGAACATAACCACTAGATTTAGAGAAGGAGAGTGAAGGAGGAGACAGCTGTTAGAGGAGAGCTTCCAATACTATCAAGATGAGACAGGGAGGCGGTGGGAATAGGACAGAAAGGAGGGGGGCGTTTCACACACCACATTGAGTGTGAAAAGGAAGGAGAGCGCAGACACAGTCAAGTCTCTGTGCTCTATGTTATGCAGGGGAGAAGCGAGAGGGCACAGATGGGAAATCAAAATGACTGGATCATTGAAAGCTTGAAAAACAGGACAAGTGTCATTACCAATTTAGATTAAGCTGTTTTTTGACATTCATTTAATCTCGCTGAGATTTTTCATGGCTACCATTGTTTGTTTGCTGAGTAATGAGTGTGTGTGCTCAGTCTAATCAAATCAAAATAAACAACTTAAAGAGAAAGAATACCAATTACGAATGGTATTCTGGTGTGTTGTTTTCTGGGTTTTGGAATGAGTCAGCGACACAAAGCTGAAATGCCAATCTATTTCCTCGTTGGATAGCTTGGCAAGGCTGTGACGCCAAGGCTGGTCAATACAAAAATAGACCAGTATCCAAGTGTTTTTTTTCTTTTCTTCTATATTTCACACTGTTTCAAGGCCCCCCACACATTTAAATTTGTGAGGAAATTGACAAAATACAACCTCTGAATCACTTTAATATATGAGATCTATTCCAAAAACAACCACAGAATGTTTAAATGGTGAGGGAAATCTTTATAGTGAAGAAACAACACTCGCATGTGCATATTGGTGAAGGCCACCTGGATAGATTGAAGCTACTCTTCCCTTCCAGCTCATCTGATCATGTATCTCACATCCAAGATTTTTTTGACGTATCAGATGGACGCTAGGACGCTAGCCTATGTCATGTTATCTGTATTTTGCTTATTTTCATTAGCTAAGTTTCTTTTTCATATCTGTGGTCGAGTCAGTGTCTGGTCCCTCTACTGACCTGAGCCATGTTGGTGATGAAAAAGGGTAGCCAAGCGCTGAAGAAGAGTCCCAGGAGGACTCCCAATGTCAGAGTGGCCTTCACAGCCCTCCGACCCTGCCTGTGAGCCAGACGACGCTCACTGTTCACTGACGCCTGTGGACAGTAGAGAATAATAGAAATATACAGTAGAATATAAATAGAAAACAGTTAATCCTAGAATTATAAATCCAATGTAAATCTCCCTTGACATTGGTATTTTGAAAAAGCTGCTCTGGGTACCTCTTTATGGCCTGGACAAGCCACACCATTATTGTAATTAACTTTTAGTTCCTTTATGCATTTAATTACTGGTTTGATTAAAGATGTCCAGATTTGTTTTATCAAGTTAATGAATTAAATTAAAGCAATTGTTGCTTATGTTGGAAATATACTTAAGATTGATACCACTCTCATTTGTACTCTAAATATAAAAGTGGGGCTAGCAGTAGTATAGTTTAGCAGAGACCTGAAAAAGGGAGAAACATCCAGTGTAGTTCTGTTGAGACAAACAGAAATCCACTTACCAGCACCTCCAGAGCTTACTGTTTATCAGATTATAGGCCTACCTTTTTTTTAATCTATAAACCAACTTGAGTGTAATAATTATTATTAAGTTTTATGGGGCGTTATGGTTAAACGTACGATATATAAACATATAGTGAGTTAATTTGTGAGGTTTAGAGGCGGCGGTGACAATTTTTTTTACTTTTGGACAGAGCAAGATAAATGCTCTGTATAGCACCTTTCTAGTCTTTTCGACCACTCAAAGCGCTTTTACACTGCATTCACTCACTGAGCCTAAGTGCTCAAAAAGAAACTATCATTCACACACTGGCGGAACAGCCAGAGGCAATTTGGGGTTCAGTATCTTGCCCAAGGATACTTGGACATGCAGCCTGAAGGAGCTGGGGTTTGAACTGCCGACCTTCACCGATATAACAAAGCAACCTACTCTACCGCCTGAGCCACAGCCGCCACAGCTGTTGCTCCCTGCTTGCAGTCTATGCTAGGGTAACCCAATCATCATTCATCTAATTCTCAGTACGAAAGCACATTTCCCAAAATTTCTTTAAAATATTGATCAGATACAAATATTTAATGTCCTGATTTTTTTATTTTTTATTTTAGTTTATTCATGCCTCAAGAATTTTTATGGCAAAGAATTATGGTACCTTAAACTTCATTGACCAGTCATCACAAACTCAAGCTGTGCAGCTGGACATTATTGAAACCCACAGAATTTGATTTAAAATTTTAGTGGAGATCGTAAAATTCCTAAAGAAACTGTTTGGGGAAATATGCACACCACATCTAGAATGTTTCCATTTGATAGAATGGTGCAGCGATAAAAGGTTTGAATATTACAGTTAGTGCCAATGTTGCTTGGCTTCAATAAAGAGCTGAAACAATCATACGGAATATATATTTATGATTAATGAAAGAGTGATGATTTTAAAGCTACTTAATCGGAATGAAACATAAATGTTATGGGGTTACAATTCATTAATTATTTTTCAAGAATTAGGCTACTTTAGGACTGACTGTTCTGTTCTGTTTGTGTGGTTTTACAGCAGGAAAAAGTGACAGACTATGTGGCTTGATCCTCGATAACAGGGGTAGCACATCTGACACACTGGCTGTACTTTTCTCTGTAAGATTTCTAGGCAGGATTTACACTTCCCTTTCACTGAAAGTGTTTCAGCTCCACATGATATACTAGCTGCAGTGTTATTTCTCTTCTGACTTATTTGACAGCTTGACAATGATCACAATTTAAATTCATAAAAAGTAAAAGAAGGTCTATATCTCCCTGTCCTTGCAGACAGCTGGTAAAGAACATGAGCACATATTTGTGCAACATTCTTGTAATTGGTTTCTATCTTTGTTCTCCAGTGGTGGAGGTTCAGTGTGTAATATTTCAGAGCATTTATTGACAGAAATGCTATATAATATCCATGACTATATTTTCAGTAGTGTATAAAGACCTTACATAATAAACTGTAATGTTTTTATTACCTTAGAATGAGAAATTTTTACATATATACATCATCTACAACTTTCTACAACAACTCTACGGAGCGCGTTTCATCACTACATTCTTCTTCTTCTTGTAGAATTCCTCCCGTGTAGATGCTCGTCTCTAGGTTCATTATAGTCGAAGAAGAAGAAGAAGTAATATTAGACATCAGGGGTCGGCAAATAAGTTTTGCATTGAACTACTTTTTCTGTAGCGCCTAAGACTCTCACCTCGAAGGTTATTTGTTCGATCACGTGTTGGAAGAGTCTTCATACATGCTTCATACATTCACATGCTTGCAATAAAGCATGTCCTGCAGTGTGTGCTTTCGGGTGTTTGATCCACATCCCTCAACCTATACGGACGCATCTCCAGGAAGAGGACATTTAGGAGAATCACGTTTACTGATGGCTCTTTCAGAGGTGTGTCAAGCAGGCTTCAAACTCTCTTTAATGTCATTCAGAATTTTTAGAAAGAAAGTTGAAGCTCTCAATTCAACTTAAAATAAAGCACTGCTGCAGAAAACATTCATGCACATTATTTTGTAGCTAAAACCACTAAAGAGGAAGACTAGACAGTTGGGTGCAATTTGCAACCTCACTGCTAGATGCCACTTAATCTTACACACTGAACCTTTAAGTACTAATGCCACATGGTGAAAATACTTTACTACAAGTTAAGGTCTTGCATTCAAAAGGTGTATATATATTGCTTTATCAGTCGGGGTTTATTGGTGGTCTCTGCTATGTTGGATACAAAGTAGTTTAATAAAACACAAAACTGTTGGGCAAAGATACTTCCAAACTAGATAAACTCCAAAGTACTTTTATAACTAAGCATATCGGGACAATCAAGTGTGTCTAGACTTAGGTCTCGAAAAGTAAAAAATTTAGTTAAAAACCAGCTATCAAACAGCATTCCTTAAGGTTTTTTTAAGGTTTGAAGCACACAGTGGCCTTAATTGAAATTGGTACTGGATTTCAACAGTATAAATTCTACTGTTTGGTCTGTCTTCCTTACCGGTACATTTTGTGACACAGGCGCCTCCTGGTGACTGCAGTCATCTCCGTCCGGCTGAGCTTGCCCTGCTGCAATCCCAGGTGAAGGAGGCCTGGAAGGTTCCCCAAGAGAGGGATGTGGGTGTGGTGGGTGGCTCAGTGCCGCGACCCTCTTTGCCTGCCTCCGCGCTGCCAGAAGGATCCGACAGTATGTGAAACAAATGGCGCTGGAGGGCAAAAAGAATGTGAGTACAGATGCCACCAGGGCAAAGGGCAGGGTGACCCGCAGGCGGCACTGGAAGGAAAGGCCTCCTGATGGTGACAGCTGAAAGTAGGACGTTGGGTACAATGTGTCAGAGTAAGAGCTGTTGTTGCTACTGCTGACCGATGAATGTCCACTCCCATGGCCCAAGCTGTGCCATTTCATCTCAATAGGCAAGAAGGAGGTCAATGCTGCCAATACCCAAGCTGCTCCTACAAGGAGCAACGCCCGAGGTGGGGTCATCCTCTGCTTGTAGCGCAGCGGTGAGATGATGAAGAGGTAACGGTCCAGGCTGATCACACACAGGTTGAGAATGGACGCACTGCAGCACATGACGTCAAAGCAAAGCCAAATCGGGCAGAAGGCAGGCCACAGCACCCAGGACCCACACAACACATTGAGCATGGCTGGGGGCATGACCACCAGTGCCACCATTAGGTCAGACAGGAACAGAGAAACTAGAAAGCAGTTCGAGGTGCAACGCAAAGAGCGATGGGCAAACACCAAAGCAATAAGCAACATGTTGCCACAGACTGTCATTAGGATGATGACAGTCAGCATGAAGGCCAACAACCATGGGCCGCTGCCAGTGATGTTCCACGCACTGGCGGTGGGAAAGCTGCTGTTGTAGCTTCCTGCAGAACCTGACAAGTGAGAGTCAGCCATGGTGCTGGTTGGCAACAATCAATGAACCAGCTCCTCAAGATTCCTCTTCAGGCACTATTAAGTGTTACAGACCTTAACCAGTTCTCTCTTGCAGCCAAAACTCACTTTAGGGACGTTGTTGAATAAAAAGAAGCCACTGAGGTCTTGTGTTGAGAAGCCATCGAACCCTCTCCATGTCCAGGCTAACCAGACTGTTCTCCATCGGTAAATATATCTTCGTCCTTTTGGCAGGAATACATCCACGTGCCTTGGGCTTTCTTCCACCGCACCCAACCAGTATAGTTATCAAAATCACCAACACTGTTTCACTCATCTCTCCATCCTGACCAGCATGTCCCTGCCTTATCCACAGCTAAGAGCCAGAATGAGCCATCCGATGGCTGACAGAGGGTTTCGAAGCAGCATGTCACTGGAGGAGGGCACGCAGAGAGATAAGCTCGACTAGACATACGAGAGATGTGTGAGAGGAACTACTGAAGATGAAGAGAACAAGGAGAACAGCTTCCGAAGGTCCTTTGCTGAGCTGGAGCTCTGCTGCAATTCACAAATCCTTTTATTCTGGGAAACAGCATTGGGGAGCAGAAACCAACACAAAATTGTGTGGCTGTTACTTGGAAGCGAGGCTCTGTTCATAAGTGCTCTACAGGTATCACGGTCCTGGTAACGCTACCTTTATATCCCTCGCTCCTGTTAATCCCTGTGTCGGCCACTCCAGCGTGCCTCCCAGTCACAGCGCACAGCTACTGAGAAGGAGCGTGTCAAAGCATTGAGCTGTTAATGCATAACCATGCACAATCACAGCCAAGAAATGCTAATTCTACATCATAGGAACTGGTGTGGGTGGTCTTTTTCCATGTTTGGTCATGGTGTCTTTAACTACTGAGGTACAACTATTATAAGCATTTTTGTAAGATTTTATGTGACAGCTTCCAAGTTAGGTCTATTTGCAAAACGATTGTTTATTCTACCTGCTTTCTGTTTTCATGGAATGTGTACAATTCATAGACATGGAGTCAGATTTATTTGAGGAGTCATCTTTCAGGTTTTTTCTTTTTTTTAAGAGCAGCATTACCAAGGTCTGATCTTTCTACAAAAATAACCCCCTCCCATGACTCCCCCTCTCTGACCTTTTTCATGTTTTAATGATTTAAAAGACTGAATCCTACAGGATATAATTCAGCTTTTTTACTCTACCTTGGAAATGTTGTATCCTACCCAATTCAATATCCTTGTCTCCTTGATTTATTAGGAATTTGCTTCATGCTTTTTTTGACATATTTATGTCTTTGTTTTCATATTGATATACAGCTATCGGTCGACCACTCCTTCTGAACCAAAATAGCTGCACCAGTCATTATTTAGACAAATTAAAGGACATGAATACTTATGCAATCAATTCTTTCACATTTTATAATTGTACTACATGTACATACATTTGTAAGGCTTTGACTTTCTATTAGCCTAATTGCTTTCTTTGTGACTCAAGTGTTTTAAAACAATAACATTTTTCTGTGACTCATTCATTTACCATTGGTGAATAATGTCACATTCCCTGTTCTAACAACTATCAGCAAACAATAGTAACTTCACTTTGCTCCTACATTATTCTCAATCCAGACAACGAGATGACATGACAAAGATAATTATTCACTTCCCAATCGAAGTACTTGAAAACTAAATAACATAAAACAAAAGCTTTCATCCGGTAAAGCCATGTGCACTCCAGCATTTCAATAGCTTTGTTGAATACTAAACATAATATGCAAAGCTCTCAAATTTCATGCCCCCTCAAAACTAACTAATCTCCTCCATCACTACACCCTGTCATCAGCAGCCATATCACATCAGCAGCTGTCAACCTTCTGACCCCCTCTCACCCACACCAAGCCCACCACCTTATGGGGCAGCGTTTGCATTGCTGTCACCACCTTCCTCCACGACACAGTTAAGAAAATCACTCCCACTTACATTCAGATATTAACTGAAAGCCCTCGTCAAGCCTGCTTAACACTTGACTCCTATTATGCCTTCAAGCATCACCATTACTGCTTGGCGTGTGTATCATCTAGCTGATATAATTAATTAAGTTACCTTTTATTAATTCAATTTCATTCATTATAAAGCATCTGAGGAAAAATGAATCACCAGGGCATCATTTCTGTTGTTATGAATATTTTATTAAATAAACACAGACTGTCCTGATCAGGCACATACAAATGATACAGAGTCAAAGTAGGGATGGGTCGTTCGACAGGGAGACAAGGATCTAACTGCAGAACAGTGCAAATGGTGACTCTCCCACAGACAACAAAACAAAAAGAACATACTCCAAAAAAATAAAATAAACGACAGTCCCTCGATGACTGGCAGCTACTACTCCTGTTAAAGAAATTAGAAATCAGTTACATAATGATTTACATAAACAATGACACAGGGTTGTTATTCTGGGTTAAAGATAAGGAATAATTTCCGTAAGTTGTTTTACAGTCCAAATGTGTTTTATTGCACAAACAAACCTTTTCGCTTCTATGCTGCAAATAATGTGACCTCAGGTCATTCTGACAGTTGGCATACGCCATGCCAAGTCCCGCTCCTGAACCGAATGAAATCGGCCAGGTGTGCCCTACAAATGAAACAGGTACTTTATCACACAAAGAAGCACTTCACAGTGTTATTAAAAAAACATACAAGAGATGGCATGTAAAATCCTTTTCACGCTTTTGTGATACTTTGTTTTTCTTTTCTGTACTTAAAATTCACATGCTTATGAGGATGGGTATTGTTAGTGCTCCTCTTACAACAAAAGCACTTAATACTCTCTAAATACCATAAATTATGTGTTCAGTTAGATAAGACTGCTGATTGACTAAAAACACACGAGACTTTTACTGCGTAAAAGAAAAGGTGTTTCGCTGCAGTAGTTACAGAACATCACTCGCTAGCTCTGCTCCTCTTGTCAAGGACCTGTGTGCTAAATTAAAGGTTCAAGATGCAGTACAGCAACAATCCATTAAAACTACTTACGTTTGAAGAACAGAACAGAAAACACGATGCCTAACCCCAGCCCAGTACCTGAAAAAGGGAGGGAAAATAAAAAACAGCCACAGTATGACTTGGATGGCAATGTACCTTTAATTGATTTTAATTGATTAAATTATATAGCTTTTGCTTCACCTTTATTAATTCATTGTGTGCATATGCTTTCTCATACTGTCTCAGACTTATGTACATTTATATTAGGTACTGTATTTTGTATTCTGTATTTGTCATGTAGCCACAGCACAAGCTTTGTTGCTTTGTAATGCATTAGGTTCTAATATATACGACAATAAACTCTAAATTTAAACTTGTACTCTCATTCATACAGTGGGGTGGAGGGAGGGTAAAATTATTCCCTTATTTGTCTCTGAAATTGATTAATAAATGTGGTGTAATTTCCCTTTCATTTTTTTAAACACCACCTGTAATGTGTTTATACACAGCCTCCTTAAAACGAAGTGGGCCAGATCCTTCAGCTGACGCAGTGTCAGTTAACGTTACATCGCACCAAACTTCATTCAAACATCGACAGTTTTAGGGTGTTTTGCTTATTAGCATTAAGTACATGGCTGAAGACTTGTTATGAGATATTAAATGATCCACTGGTCTATAATACTAATGATTCATCGAGAAATACCTTATTTCGGTAACGTTAAACTCAACTCCACCCTGCTCCCCGCCAGCATTTCTATTTAGCTAACGTTGCTAAACTAACAACTTATTAGCCTATGTTTGTTCTAGAAGATTTCGGGGCTGTAAGCCACGAAAATGGAAAGTTTACATGATATGACAATAAATGTTTGTTGGTGTTATGTATGTATGCCGAATTCAGGAAACATCTTGATTAATGTCCTAGCAAAGATGTACGTTCACGTAACGTTATGTATGGATTGACGAGTGAAATTAACAGTATCGTTAACACTTAACGTTAAGTTAAAATCTAGTAACGTTAGGGAAAAGGTGCTGATGGTTGCATTCTTGAACTACAGACTTGTCTCTATATTTACCTATCACAATTAATAACAGATATCGGACTAGTGGTTAAGATGTCCTTTACAAGCCCTTTATAGCTAAACTTAGCTAGCGTTAGTTAGCCTCTCGCCCAGTCAATGACAGCTGTGGACTTCAATAAAAACTGTTTCTTATTTTATCCTTATTCGGGACATTACAATGTCGTTATACACGAAATACATTTGGATATTTACCGAGTTTAATGGCACTGTCTGCCAGGCACCGGTCCCACTTTTTCCCCAGCTCCTTCTCAGACATGCTGAACCTTAGCTTGTGTCAGGCTAGAAGTGTCAAATGTAGTCCCGGTGCTGCTTTCAGGTCCTGTCGGAAATGTAGGTATTACGATTTAAACGTAGAGACGGCCGTGACAAAGGAGTTTAGGCTTCCAGACTTTAAAGTGTTATTTTATTGATTCTATTTTGCCAACACAGACAGTACAGTATATGCGGCAGCATTTATACGCCCAAACTTACTGAAAATCTGTGTATCTGTGTATGGTTGTTCACTTAACGCAGAATTACGTCATTCTTGCAAACCTTGTTTTATACCCCCTATGGTTATGCCAAAATCATTTTGCCCATAACCTAATCGGCGCCATCCTGTGGTAAAGAACAGAATAGCCCAAATAGTACTTCACCTAAATACATAACAATATACAGAAAACACGTATATTACAGCAGAAAAAAACATTCGCAGACGCAGAATATTTTATTTGAAAATGTATCTCAAAGTTTCTGAAGGAAATTTCGCTTGACACAAATCGGTACACTGTCATTAAGTCATTACAGCATGTTCACCTTATTAACAATGATTTCCTGAGATGACAATATACAATATGCAATTTCTGACAACAAACAGTTGATATCCATTACACAAAAAGCTGGTATGTTTTAAAATTACCATTAAATAAAGAAAATTGGTGTTTAACACACAGAATCAAATAACTAAACATGGAAATCATGAATTCTACATACCGACCAACAAACGTATTGAATTCAGAAAATGATATACAAGCAAACTATGTGAAACAGCCAAAAGTAATCACATTGGCAGTGACTATCAAGCACAACCTCTAAAAACAGTATAGAATATAAGCTGGGTAGCATTTTACACATTGTGTAACAGCAAAGGGACACCAAAGAGGTAGAAACTGTGTCCATGAAGGATAACCCATCTTTGGTCAACAACAAAAATATATCCCCTTTGATATTACTACCTTTACTCCAGTACTTGTGTCTTAGCTCCCACTCAATTCTTGTCCGTGATAACCAAGACACTTAAATAAAAATCAGTTTATGTGGAATCACTCCAACATTTCAGTGAATACACATGCTGTACATGTGCAACAATAGCAATCATCCAGATCTAGCTGCAGGTAAATGCTTCTGATAGCCAGAATGTTGTGTTTAAGTGGCATTCACAACAAAAAATATAATGTGGTTTTACTGCATTCCATGTTGTGTAAAAAATAAAATAAATGTGAACGCAGATAAGGAGATCATCAACTCCATGTCCTGAAGGACTGGCTGCCCCAACCACAGTTCACACTGAAGCTATTCTGATCACTTGTTCGATTAAGGGGACTGTTCTTGTGCTGCTGCTGCTGCTGGCTGGCTGGTGTCTTCTCTTGCTGTCTTTACAGAGCCCTTGCTGATGGCCAGGAGGTCTCGCAGCTCCTTGTTCTCAATCTGAACAAGACAAAATAACCATATATATGTAAGGAAAAAATGTTCAGACATACAAATAATGAGAGTTAAGTGGTTAGTTCATCCAAAATAGATATAATCACAAATTTTCTCAGTTAATTATAGTGGTTTCTAACCATGCAGATAGATTGGTTTAGGAAGGTAGGTAGGTACATTTTATTGTCACAATATAACAGGTTATGCTACACAGCAGACAATATACATTTATACAGAAGCAATTATAAAAACAACATAAATAAATAATATTCAATGATCAATGGAGCAGTGCTGAGGATGAATTAGAGTTTAAGAGTGTGATAGCTTGGGGAAAAAGCTGCTCTGCAGTCTGGTGGTGTGGCAGCAGAAACTTCTATCTCTCTTCCCAGAAGGCAGCAGAGTGAACAGGCTGTGGCTGGGTGGGTGCTGTCCTTTAGTATCCTTTGGGCTCTGCGTAGGCACCTCACCTCACCGATAACACTGATGCTCGGGAGATGGGCACCAATGATCTTCTGAGCAGTTTTAATCACCCGCTGCAGAGCCCTCCGGTCCTGGGCCGTGCACATCCCATGTTAGTGATGTTTCCAGTCAGGATGCTTTCTGTTGCTCCTCTGTAAAAGCTGACAAGAACTTGGCGTGGGAATTTTGCCTTCTTAAGCTTCCTCAAGAAATCCAGTCGTTTCTGAGCTTCCATCATTTAGTTTTGCTGATGTTGAGCAGTAGGTTGTTCTCTGAGCACCACTCTGCAAGATTATGAATTTCTTCCCGATATGAAGTCTCATCATTGTTTGAAATCCGTCCGATGATGGTGGTGGCATCCGCAAATTTCACAACAGAGTTCTCTTCGTGTCGGGGGATGCAGTCGTGGGTGTACAGTGTGAACAGGAGGGGGCTGAGCACAGCCCTGGGGGGCTCCGGTGTTGAGCACTACAGTGGAGGTGTGTCCACCTTCCGCACTGACTGGGGTATGTTTGTGAACAAGTCCAATATCCAGTTGCAGAGTGTTGTATTTAAACCCAGAGTGCTGAGTTTGCTGATCAGATTCATGGGGGAGAGTGTGTTAAATGCTGAGCCCAAATCCATCCATCTTAATCACTCCAGGTTGAGATATCTGTCTCTGGGATTTCTGACTCCACCCAAATACAGTTGAGGTGAACAGAATTACATTTGTGGTGCTAACATACAAATTTGCAAATTGCAAACAAAAATTAGAAATTAAAAACAGTTGCATCTAAGTGTTTCTGTCACTCTGGATAATCTAGAGATGCTTTGGTGAACAGTTATCACTGGAACTATTTACTACTGAAGAAATAGTACAGGTTTCTCACTCTTTTCTAGACATCATTTTCCAGGACAGTTAAAGTGATGATCTAGCTGGTATGACAGACAGGGAACATGCCATACACTACACCTCTCTGCGGAGGTCTGATTTTAAAGACGTACAGTCTATGGCTATAGCCTCTCTATGAAATCATCTATTACAAGTGTAGATATGACAAATTATTCTGGCCTTGTTTTAATATCGTTTTTTTTAATAGTACTGCTATTGTACTTTTTGTATTATTTGTTTCTTTTGGAAAGCCCTTTGTGTTCTATGCTTGGCAAGTGCTTTTCCTATGATTTATATTTTAATCACTGCTGCCTGAACACCAATTACCGAACAAACAATAGCCTACAATGTTGCCTACTAACAAATCCCAGCATTCTGTTGAACCATAGCTTTCTAAAATCACTGTGGTCCTCAGGCAAACTGCAGTGTAACTGTACAAAAAGCTATTTCAGACATGAGGCACTTTGTCTGCATCCAAATAGGAAATTAAACCAAGCCGTGGTGTAAATCAGTTTATCACATCATGTGTTACCCCATATACTAACAAAGCTAATCACAACCCACTGTGAGCTAAAAAAGTTTCACGTCATGTTACTGTCCATTTTATTGTAACATAGCATTGTGTTTGAAGCGACAATGCTAGCAAAGTAAAAAAAAGTGCTATTATCAATACTAGTATTTAACAAGTGTTTGATGCACATATAGCTGGGCTCCCATTCATTGTTTGGACACCGACTTCCAATTCAATCTTATCCAACTTTCTCAGTAATACCAAACATTGCTCCTAGCCAACAACAAACTAAAACCATTAACCAATTTAACATTATTCAACCGTTTAAAACAATTTGAGAAGAAAATATTAATCTATAAACCTAATAAAAACTACCTTTACCTTTGGAGGATAATGCAATTCAGTGTCATGGACATAATGTCATCCAACCTGTGCTACATGTGCCATGACTCAGGGGTGTGTTCACAATGCTGCCGCAACATAAAGCTAAAGTAATTTGAAATATTTTCCAGGACATTTTACTTTTTCTCTCATTTTCCATGTGTTTTCCATGACTGGAAAATTGGTACCTGTAATTGTCATTTTTCAATGCTGTAAATGCCATAAATGTGATTCCATTCACCGTGATTGTATTGGATGGCAGTAGAATTCTCAGAGATGAATATCACAAACCTGGGCAAATAAAACCCAAACTGCCTTTGTGACCAGATATCACTAGAGGTAAGTGAAAAACTGTATATCTACAGAATGTAGAGATATTATTCAATTTATTTATTTTATATTTATGTGGGTGATACATGCACAAATTGAGCAAACATCTACAGTTGTTCTTAACTCTACTTAAGCACTGTGCTCACCTCTAGTTGAGCGAGCCTCTCTCGAACAGAACAGTAGTGTTGATCATCCACCTGCACTGCCCTTCTCATCACCTGGCCCATCTCGCATATCCGCTCCACCTGGCTCTGCACTTCCTGGAAAAGATTCAGAAACAAAAATCAATGCATTGTTAACTGTACGGCCACCCATTTGCAATCCTAACCTACAAATGACCCAGAATTTGAAAAAGTTAAGACAGCCAGTTTACTTTTGCGTGGTCCTCGTGTAGGCTGAGCACAGGTTTGGTGTCAAGCTCCTTCTTCGCCATCATCAGCTGGAGCATCTGCTTGCGGTACCGACCCATGATCAACTCTAACGCATACTGGTGTTCTTCAAGAGACAACCATAGTTCTGCAGATGCAGTCATAAAGAGTGTTAGCAAAGATATCAAACACCAACCATTCAATCAAGAGAAAAGAGTGTGTGTTTTTAACCTTTATTCTCCCGCTGAAGTTCCTTGATTTGAGTGTTTTCCTGAGTCAGAAGGGCATGAGGCTTGTATTTGGTTAGCTCCTGAATCTCTGAAGTGTCTTCTATGTGCTGTGAGAAGAGACCAGTTAAGGGCAGTGGAAATAGAAAGACTTGCTGCTCTGTTTTATTAATCAACCATGACATAGAGGAAAGTATTAATTTCCATTTTAAAAATGCAAGCTTATATTAATATAATAAGTATTTACTTACTAAAATCTCAGCATCAAAAAGTAAATTACAAAAATATTGATCTGCTCCATAGGAATTCTTCATGACATTCAGAACATCTAATTGTTATAAGTTGCTTTTCCAAGTTGCTTTTGTTGAACTTAGCCAACTTCTTAGTTGTTGTGTTAAAAGAAAATAAGCATATCAACAGGCAAAATATATCAACAAAGAATAACACATATTGTCAAGAATGGGGTGTCATGCAAGATGTACAATTAAATCTCTATTATTGAATCTCATGCCAAACTCCATTCAGCATTAATGCAATTGAAAAATGGTCATTACAAAACATCTGGACTACTCAAAATGTAACGATCTAAACAAGCGACCCATCAAGCAGTACTTACTTTCATCATAATCTCAGTTTTTAGTATGGGTTTACATGTTTCCCTGTGTTTTCAAGGGGGAACATTTTGGGATAATAAGAAACACAAAATTGTGTGGCTGTAAATTCAGCTTGGGTTACATTTGCTGAACTGATGGGTAAGTTAGAGCTCAACTTAATCCTGTGCATATGCCATAAACAATTCAGCTTTATAACGTTATAGCCATGCACTTATTCCAAATCTCTTTGTAACCGTGCTTCTCCTTGAGATTAATTTACCTTGTCAGGGAGGGCATTTCCCACCTCTCTCATGCTATTCACTCTCTGGCTGAGGACCCCGGACTGCTCTATCAGTCCCTCGGCGGCCGTGTCGTGCTCTTTCAGTCTCTCGAGAAGGGTCCGGGCATCGCCCAGCACTTTTTCTAAAGTGCAGGCCATTTACTAGAGACTGACAACTCCTGTACGTCAACCAGCTAACGTTAACTTAACCTCCTTCACTCCACAAGCGAGGTAAAAATATCTCGCGGTGTTAGCTGACGTTGGCGATCTAACGTTAGCCGGGTCAGCTGCGGTGCCTTTATAGCAACGTGTGCAAAATATTACAGACCTTCGGATGTATTTTAAGGCAACATTAGACAGAATATAGAGTACACATAAATAAAACACTGATCATTCTGTTTTGTTGTCAAGTCTGCCGTTTCCGTGTGAAACATGAAACGATGACGTCACTTCCGCGAATCAAACCAGTGGTCGGCAACATGCGGTCCGCGGGCCAAAACTGGCCTGCCAGCAATAATATCTGGATTGTGGCCTGATTACTCTGATAGCGGAAATAAATAAATAAATATAAAACGTCACATTGATAGCGGCCGGCCAGTGCTGAAATAGCTCTGTCATGGTCAGAACAGCAACAGTTCACATAATCACAACCACGTGATTGTTCTTTTGTAATATATTTGTGGCTTTGGCAATATTTTTACATTAGTTTTACATTCATGCCAAAAAATTGAATAGAATTGATTGTGCCTACAAAATAAAAGCACGAGAATGTTTTTTGCCGCAATGCTCTATTTCATGTTGAATTAGGAGCTTTTACTTTGACAAGTACAACAAAAGTTCTGAAGGACATTTAAAAGAGTCTCTGGCTTGCTTGACACACATCTGAAAAAGCCATTAGGAAACGTAAAATTGAAATCCACTGAATGACAAGTGCAGAAATTTCCTGTGCCTGGAGATGCTGGTGAAATGGAAATAAGCATCCATAGGTTGATGGATGTGGATCAAATGCCGGGAAGCACACACTACAGTATATGCTTTGAAAAATACTCTCTATAGCCTAATTAATGTGTTGAAGAGGGAAAAAAATATAGTAATGTGGGGATCAAACACATAGAGGGGGAGACCGGGGTAAATGTAACAATTTTTGGTTTCTTTGTCATAACTCAAAAACTTCTTGAACCAATTGGATAAAAGTTTTATAGAGGTAACTTGTCTCTGTGTTTTATTTGTTAAAGTCATCCAATGTGTTTAAAAGCAATGTTAAAGGCACAATAGTGATTCAAACACTAGATGTGAAATGTTACATCTGACCCCACGTGTAGGGGTGATTGTAACAGCATATGGGCAATTGTAACAACACACATAATTCCTTCATATCCTCCCTGTCAAATGGATCCCCAAACTGAGAGGCTAAAACTTAAACCTCTGGACTACGCCACTAAGTATAGGCCTCTTAATAACACAGTATACATAGTAGTCAGCTATAGGTCATTCGTATACATAAATGTTAACTGAAGAAGAGTCTATAGTCCATTATTTTCTATATTGAGCTTAAATACTATGCTACTATTATAAACCAAAAATTTAAATAATATCTCTTGATAAATATGTTGATAGATTATTATTACAGTATTTAAAGTTATGACAACTTCTCATTTGTAGAAATTGAAGATATTGAAAGCATGCAATTGGCTCTTGGTAGGAATTGAACCCGGTCCCCAGAATGAAAAGGCCAAAGATTTGGACTAGAATTGTAACACAGTGTTAAGATTGGCCCCAGCTGTAACTCCCCATAACAAGCTACCCTCATAGCTAGAAACAATGAAGCTAATATCTGACAAAGATATCAAAAGTTAGACAACAGAATGGTCATCCAAAAAACACGTTTAAATTCATAGACATTTATGGCTAAGACAGTATGAGAAAAATACTGTAGATGAAAGAAATTCCTTTCATAGCTCAAAAATTAGCAGGCAGAGAGGGATGGCCACAGAGAGCGTGCATGATGACTTTCATGCTTCTGTTTCATTTCTGATTGGTGCAATTTGAGATTTTACAATTGCCCCTTGTTACAATTGCCCCCGGTCTCCCCCCAAATGAAAGTCCTGTGCGCTCCAGGGGTCGGAAAATAAGTAATGCTGGCATTGGGCCAAATTCTTTTCAAGCCGTTAGATTATAGGCTACGATATGATTCTAAACAGAAAACTACGGCAGAGGGAAGAAGTTGAGTTAGTAAACATGCATTATCGGAATAGGCAAGGCAAAGCAAATTTATTTGTATAGCACATTTCAACAACAAGGTAATTCAAAGTGCTTTACATAAAACATAAAAGCAACAGGGAAATATAATAAAAGTTACAGTGTAAATATTTAATTAAAAGCAATGGTAAAAAGCTAAAAACAAAGAAAAAGAAAACAGGACAGTAGAAGTTACAGTGCAGTGTAAGTTATTAATAAAAAGAAAAATCTTAAATATTTAATTAAAAGCAATGGCAAAAAGAAAAGTCTTCAGTCTTAATTTAAAAGAACTGACAGTTTCAGCAGACCTGCAGTTATCTGGGAGTTTGTTCCAAATATATGGAGCATAATAACTGAACGCTGCTTCTCCTTGTTTAGTTTTGACTCTGGGGACAGAAAGCAGACCTGCCCCAGACGACCTGAGAGGTCTGGATGGTTCGTAACGAAGCAGAAGATCAGAAATGTATTTTGGCCCTAAACCATTTAGTGCTTTGTAAGCTAACAGCAGGATTTTGAAATCAATTCTTTGACATACAGGAAGCCAATGTAGAGACCTCAGAACTGGAGTGATGTCTGATGGATTTCTTAGGGAGCCCTGTAAGGACACTGTTACAGTAGTCAAGTCGACTGAAGATAAATGCATGGATAAGCTTTTCCAGGTCCTACTGAGACATAAGTCCTTTAATCCTTGATATATTATTCAGGTGATAGTAGGCTGACTTTGTCTTAATATGGCTCCTCAAATTCAGGTCTGAGTCCATGACTACACCAAGATTTCTGGCTTGATTGTGGTTCTTAACATTACTGATTGAAGTTGAGCACTGACTTTCAATTGTTCCTCCCTGGCTCCAAAAACAATAACTTCAGTTTTATCCTTGTTTAATATAAATAAATTCTGGCACATCCAATCGTTGACCAGCGCCTGTATGGGATTATAGTCCCCTGGTGAAATGGTTATGTAAATCTGTGTGTCATCTGCATAATTATGGTAACATATTTTGTTGTTTTTCATAATCTGAGCCAGTGGAAGCATGTAAATGTTAAACAAAAGAGGTCCCAGAATGGAGCCTTGGGGAACTCCACGTCATTTTTGTCAGCTCAGATGTGTGATTACCTATAGACACAGAGTAGTCTCTGTCCTTTAAGTAGGATTCAAACCAGTTTAGTACTGTGCCAGAAAGTCCAACCCAGTTTTCAAGTCTGTCTAGTAATATGTTATATATGTATATTGTGGTCGACCGTGTCAAATGCAGCACTGAGATCCAATAATACGATCCAATAAGACTGAAATTCTGCCACTGTCAGTGTTTAAATGGGTGTCATTGAAGACCTTAACAAGAGCCATCTCAGTGCTGTGGTGTGGTCAAAAACCTGACTGGAAGACATCAAAACAGTTATTTAGTGCCAAGAAAGCACTAAGCTGTTGAAAAACAGCCTTTTCAATGATTTTACTTAAAAATGGGAGATTTGATGTGGGTCTATAATTGCTCATTAGTGAACTGTCTAGATTGCTCTTTTTTAAGAGTGGCTTAATGACTGCAGTTTTCAGGGCCTGTGGGAAAAAACCTGATAAGAATGCACATGTAGATGGCAGGAGGAGAGAGGAGCTCAGTGGACGCAATCCCACCAATCTAGGCCTAATATGCTTTGTCAAAGTGGAAAGTCTTAAGACTTCACTTAAATTCAGATATGGTGTCTGCCTCCCAAACCCAAACCCAAACTGGGACCTGATTTCACAGGACAGGAGCTTGATAGAAGAATATTAACAATTATGTGGGGGAAAAGTTGCAGGAGTGATACTCACTTTAGGAGTAGTTTAGGATGGTTTACAGACCATTGTTCTGAATATCTTCAGAAAACAACATGAGGGCTATGACCAGAATGGGGTCTAATCCTGATGAAGTGGTAAAATAATGACAGGTTGACAAGAATGTCCAGATTTTAACTAGGTGCTTGTTAATTACAGCCCCGTCAGGTAGCATCTTCTCTACTGCTGTACTTGCCTTACTATTTTGCAGTGAAATTGTCATACTCTGTTGCGCTATTTGATAGGCAGTATTAGAACATTTATTTTTAACATGCATATAGAAATATTCTATCTTTTTTCTGTTCTTATTTTTTTTACTAGAATCAGTAAGACATACATCCAAACATACTGGATGCTAATTTTCAATCAACATCTGAGTTTTAAATGATATATCTGGATACATGTCAAACATATATGGTCTAAAGAAGAAATTTAAATGTACCCTTTCAAAACAACAACAAGAAAACACAGAGTGGATACCCCTGAAGCTGCACAATGCTCAAATAGCTATTTTATTAACAGGAAATGTTTTAAGTGTTCTAATCTGAGTCTGTTTCTACATATTAATACCCACAGAGATTTACATAAGTAAGTAGTAAAAATGTTCAAAAATACCCTCACTCAAATTCTCTAAATATAAAAGATGTTCTATTTTCATACCCCGAACATTTTGAATGAACTACAAGTCAAGCTTAATTTGGAATCTTTACTCTATCTTAACATATTAAAAAATATTTTAAAATCAGTTTTGACAAACCAATGTCATTGCTTTTTGACAAGTTCCATTATTTGCCATGATTCCTTTTAAGCTCTGATGCCTGTATGTTTGTATTTGTTTGTTGTGTTTTGGTATGCTTTTTTGGGGTCATGTTACCTGTCCACACCTGTACCTGTTATTTTATTTTTGCTGTTCAAGTACTCCCTTGTAGAAGAGTTATTGTATCCCAATGGGACCTTCTTGGTTAAATAAACAATAAATGGAAAGAAATTTGATCTGTGATGCATCAACATCATCCTTCTGACTAACTGAATGCAAATCGAAGGCATAGCGGTTAAATGAAAAACAAAGGGAAACCAAATAAACAAACTTAAAGTGAATAAAATAACTTGAAGTGAACAGATCAACAGCCTTTTATTGTAACAATAATGAGAGACGCTTGCCGGTGTTAACAAGATGCCATCAGAAAGTTCGCATTAACTTGGGTGCAATTGAAACTGAAATGAATACATTTTAATACAACGTGCTGTTGCCTAATGCTCGCCCATTCAAAATTGCTTTATACAGTCTATGATTCAAACTAGTCAAGTAGCAAAATGGTTAAAAATGATTTGATATTGATGTCTGAGATCACACATTAACATGTTTAAATGCTTGACATTCCTTAACAGGAT